AGAATAACTAAGTACGATATTGATTGTGATTAATTTATAAACTTTTAGATGAAGCAATTCATTTATTTTAGTATAAAGATAATTATAGAAAATAGTTTTTGCAATATTTTCTTAACAAAACGTATCTCATCCATTAAATGTCACCATGATAATGATGATATATCAACATATGAAGAAAAGTTAATACGAAAATATTTGAAATTATCTTGCATATAACAAATTTAGTGATTATTCAATAACAATCTTAATATATTATTTAAATAATTTAAAAATCAGATATCAAAGATATTACCAAGATCTTTTCTAATATTGCATTTTGACAATATCTTTTAATATCTTTTTCAGTAAAATATAAATATTTATTGTTTTAATATTTTGACAATATCTTTTAATATCTTTTTCAGTAAAATAAAAATATTTATTGTTTTAATATTTATTTATTCATATTCATAATTAAATTACTACAATAAATAATATATATAATAACTTAATTAAAATTATTTTATAAACTATAAATTAAAAGAATTACATATTCATGACAACATATATTCATAGAGTTTATAACATACTTCAATTTATTAATGTAAAATATTAAAATATATATTAAAAGAATAAAAATTATATTTAATATAATATCTAAATTACTATATGAAAATCTAATTTAGTATATTTTTATTTGATAAAAACAATATTTTTTTTGATTTTATTATATAGTATATTGAATTATATATTATGATTTAAAATTACAATTTACTACAATTTATTTTATAAATATGTAAACATTTATAAGTATAAAAGCATCTGAACACCATATAATTAATTTATATTATAATAAATATTTATGTAGTCAATCTATGGATTAAAACCGTAATATAAAGTTTATAAGACAATATAAATGTATGAAATATAATATGGAATATGGTTAGAGTAATTAATGAGAAGAGAGAGAATAAATCGGGTATATTTAATATGTGATATGATTTGTAACAATTGATATATATATATATGTAAGACCAAAAAACAAATTACCAAAATGCCATTAATGAGGGTGCACACAACTTTTATCAGTTGATTTTTTAAGGGTGTCTTTACTTTTAATAGTATAGATTATCTGATTAAAGCTCAATAAAGGCTTATGTCACATTAAGAAGAAAAAATGATCAATGATAATATAAAGCAATCAACTAATAAATCTGATGTTCTAGTTCCTGAGAAAGATCAAGACGAAAAAGAAATAATAAGAAGAAAAGGAAGCAATTACATTTTGTATAAAACTACATAATTTGGTTTCTGTCCAAAGACTGTTAAAGTCTAGAATTTAAGTTCAAAACAGATCTAGATCTTCCAACTCCAGCTAGCTCATAACCAAAAATTTGACTTCTACATTTTATTTTTTAGAATAACATTAAAAATGCATGAATAGAAAACCTTGGGTTAAGAAAATATACCTTTAGTAAAATCCATTTAACACGTCATTCATTGATCCACGACCAAAAAATGTGGTCTTTGGTCATTGTTGCGATGCAAAATTGTAGTATACATTAACTACCCTTGAGCGGACCTGAGAATAAAAAGGGGCATGAACACATACCAATCTTCGTAATATGACTGAGGATGGAACAAACTAATGGTGCTAGGTGATGACTATAGGAAGGGTTGACAGAATCACATGTATAAAACTATTTAACATTTAAGAGACGATACTTTTCTAGGCATGAATCATTAGATAACCTTTATTTTCTATTAACTACCAACTTAACCTGATAGAAATTAAGCTTACCAAATTGTGTGCATCAAACTTATTCCTTCTCTGGATATAGAATTGATAGGTATATCAGCTAGGGTTTGAATTCCTTTCTCTGCATGCCAAACACTGAAAAAGTTGTTTACACCCATATTTATTAAATATGTTTTCCCTTTACAGTTTAATTGTGATACCTAAAATCTTCCACAAAATTTAATTTAATTTGTTAGGTAACTAACTAAATGGTCTAACTATGACTTCTAAATAATTAGATAAAAAATAGGATTTGTGTGTGCATGTGACAAGTAGAAAGAAGAGTGTATCTTTTTTTTTGTCCTTGCAACACCTCAGATGTATATTAGATTTTGACCTGCACGCGCATGTGTATATTTTTCAAAAATATATTGCTATTTGTTTTTCATAACAGTATTATATAACATATACATATCATCATATAACCAATAGTATTTTATAGGTATCATATTATAAATTATTGATGAGTTTGCAGGTCGACCTGCTCTGCTGCGAATTAAATCATTTTTGATTCAAAAATTTGACACGCAAGTGGGAAACATTATACATGAACCCACCCTGTTTAAATTAACGGGTAAGAGTGTAATATTTTTATCACAAATATATTTAACAAAAAATGTAATCCAAATCATTTGAAAACTTTACTTGACATCATATATATTTCAAAGTGCGGATATTATTTTCTTTTTAAATTCTATAAAAAAAGATTATGTATTTTTGTATGAAATAACCTACTATGTTTATGATTTGTGGAAGTTTGTTTTGCTTTGTAGTTTATAAAACAATAAAGATATTCATTTCATTATAGATTTTTCTAATTTTTAAAATGTGGTTTTAATATTTAACAATTATTTTATTGATTAACAAAATAAATTAAAAATATTCTTAACAACATCACTATATAGTTAGAAAGTTTCTGATATATTTTTGTAATCAAATCATATGAATCTGCTAAGATCATTAAGACAACTGTCCCATATCTAACCTAGCAAATAAATATGAAATGTGAAGATAATGAATTAACCTGAGATCAATAACAAAAAAAAACATCTGTTAAAGATAGAAAACATAGAAAATAAAAGAAAATGAAGAATGATCAAATCATATGTAGCATCAAAAGAAGAATCATTATGATAGATCATCTGCACATAACCAAAACCATAATCAGAAAACAACAAAAATTATGTGTATATATATAGTCTTACCATTCTAAAATAAAATAAATTTACTAAATCCAAATCAGAAAAAATAACGAAAAATTTGCTAAAATTGGATCAAATTGAAAGACCTTCGTCCCAATAGTATTTTCTCTTGGAATTAATGTCCCAATAGTATTATAGTTTTCATTAATCCAAATATACCCTTAAATATTGAATTGTGCTTAAATTTTAAAAATAATTTAATACAAAAATAAATTAAAATACCTAATCTAAATTCTCCAACCCAACTGCCGTACAAAAAATCCCAACCCTGACGCCTTCATATCTCCTCTTCTTCATCCTCAAACCCAAACTCCCTCTCATGAAATTCTGGCGAACCTCAGGCTTCGTTTCCGGCGATTGATTTTCCAGTGATCATCGGCCTTTGCATCTCATCTTTCCTCTTCTTCGTCGTTCTCTTAATTCGACACCTCTTCTTCACAACATCCCATTTGTAATGTAAACTTATTCCCTTAAGTGTGGTTATTCCAAACCAAATTGTCTTCTATTTTGGTTATCCCACTATCACATTGAGGATATGTGTTATGTATGTTAATGTATTTCTTAATTTTTTTGTTTGATTTTTGCATTCTTATTTTCAGAAACAGATTTGTTCTTCTTTGCTGATTGTGGATTTGTTATTTTCTCAAATAGATTCATTCTTGTTTTCGTAACTGTCTATGAAAAGCTGCACAAAGTTTTCTAGTTTGTAACTCTGCCACAACTTTGTCGAATGTGAGTTCATTTAGCTATTAAGTTATTTTTTTTGCATTTCTTCTTAATGGCTATTCGGTAGGCTTTACATAAGAATTTCGATTAAGAGTATGGAGTGAATGCTCCAATTTAGTTTTAACGATATCAAAGGGAAAAGGCTATACTTTGTAGAACATCTTGAATCTTGTTTATTAAATCTGACTTTTTTTGCTGTGTATTGAATTTTGATGTGTTTTCTTTGTAAATAATGAACAGTGTGATAGTGAAATTGATAGATCAATATCTATGGTTTTTATTGGTTACATTACTTTTAGGTATTGATGTAGCACTTCCTAAACGCATGTTCAGAGAGGGGTCAGAACCGCAAGTCGAGAAAATCAACAATAGTTGCAGAATGTCATTTATGAAGAGATTGCAAGCACTTTTGCCGGATGTGTATGGGAAGTGAAGAAAGACCAGGTTTTCAGTCATGTTCTAGCCATTAATGAAAATGGGTTAGGATATTCAGGGACATTGATCCACAGTTTCTTGTCTAGACAAATTGTAACATCGAAGCTACATGAGCTGTGGTTTGTTTTCGCCAGGATACCATTGCGTTTCTCCGAACAAGAGTTTTATGCTATTACTGGATTAAAATTCAAAGAGGATGAGGTTCTTGACTTTGACAAATGGAAAGATGATATGGTTTCTAGAGTGAGCTGCTAAAGAGACGCAAGAACATTTCCTTGTGGATGATTAAGAAGGAACACTTGAAAAATGTTCACAAGTGGACTTATGTGGATAGGGTGAGGTTAATCTACGTGTGTTTAATTGCTAGTGTGCTGATTGCGAAGGATGAGAAAGCTAATATTCCCCACACTTACATCAAAATGGTTATGGATATTGATAAGCTACGAAGGTATCCATGGGGTCGAGACGCGTTTGATGAGCTAGTTAAGGCAGCCATTAAAGCTAGAGAAGAAATGAAGCAGAAGAGCAGCTATGTTTTGGATGGCTTTTCATATGCATTGCAAATATGGATAATGGAAGCTATTCAATTAATTGGTGAAATTTTGGGAAAGAAACGGAATCCAGAGTTTACCGGACCTCGTTGTGGCAATTGGTTAGGTGCAGCAAGGGTTTCATATGCAGAGATTAATACTGTAGAAGCTTCATTTGGATCTGATGTGGGTAATTTCTTTCATTTAAATTGTGATTCTTAATTTTTCTGAAACGTTGACACTTTCTCGTTTGTGTTGCAGTGCAAATTGTTTTCATATATCTCTTCCAGTGGGAATTTTGAAATTCTTCAGTCAACTGATTACATAAGGATGGATGAAAAGAAGGATGAGAGAGTGGATTTTATGGCTGAGATGATTAAAACTGGATTCAAGTGGGGCAGCATGAATTGGGACTTTCAAGAAGAGGCTGATGAACCGATTGCTGGATTTGCTGGTGACATCGCAAGTGGAGACGATGATGATGAAGCTGAGGAATTCATGACTCCAAATACTGGAGTTAGTTCAAGTTCAAGTTATGTTAAGAAAAAGAAGAAATTTCCAGATGTGGGTGCAGAAACTCGAAAGAAAAAGGTGTTATGCCAAAGGTTTGCAGCTACACAAAGGTCTGCAGCAACACAAATGGTTTTTGATGAAGACATGGAGATTTTATTTTAAAGGATTAATTCAGACTTCCTTCACTTCTATCGAAGAGAAGCTGGAAAAAAAGATGGATGAGCGATTTATGAAATTGGAGAGTGATATCTCTCAGCTGAAGGAGTCAGTCAAGCTTGCTACTTTTTCAAAGAATGAACGAGAGCCTTCCAACATATCTAAACCGCCTAATGTCACGCCTTCAATGCCAAAAGGAAAAAAAGTAAGTACTCATAAAACCTCTAAGATATGATCGTTTATATCTTGTGAAAACAGGTTATGGTATGTAATCTTTTTGTCTTGTGATAACTTGTAATAGAATGTAAGATATAATCTATTTTTCTCGTAAAATTTTATGGCATCTAATGCATGATCTTTTGTCTTGTAAAACTTGTAATGGAATGTAACATATGATACTTCTTTGTCTTGTGAAAACTTGATTGGAATTTTCTTGTATTTGTAAACAGGCCCCTAATGCAACTTGGAATGTAATTTTCTGAATATTTTTATTTTATTTTGAAATGTAACAGGATGAAAAAAGAGTTGGATTACATTTCAATGCCTCAAATCTACATGACGTTGATATGACATTCAATTCAAACATTGATTTGGAGTTAGAGACACAAAATTACTTGCGTAAAACATTGGATCAGCTCTCGCAAGATTCTGCCGTTAAAGGATTTGATCCAGTGAAACAATCGCAAGAAAAAGATTTAGACTTTTGTAGTCCGCTTTCTTCATCCGAACGATTCAACAAAAGAACACCACATTTGACCGACAACAAGAAGAATTGAAGTGTGGGATTTCTTTGTGCATCACATTCAGTCTTCGAACAATTGAAGTGTTTGATTGTTCAGGGATGAAGTACAACACGGAGATGGAAGCTTTTGCAGTCATCATTCCTCGCATTGTGAAAGCCGTTTAGACAGCTGCAAACAAGAAACAACTAAAAGTTGTTCAGTATGATGTCTCTTACTTGTCTATGAAGCATAGCATTAATAGTAGCTGCGGCGATTGCGGAGCGTTTGCCTTGAAGTACATTGAGTGTCACTTGATAGGTATAGACTTATCTTTCATGGACGATGAGAACATTTTAGCGGCTCGTTACAAGATTGCAGTTGATCTATTCCAGGCGGCTAATGATCTTGTTTTAATCAAAAGAAGGGCTTTGTATACTCATCCACAACACAATGAGTCTCATTTTGTAGAAATTAATTGACCTTTCTAAATTCCTGTAGTTTTTATCTCACTTTAGCTTGTGGTACTTGGTTGTTAAAAAACAAGTTTGTGGTACTTGCAAAAACATGATTCTTGTTTGGTTTTAATATTCATGTTTTCGTTTCAGTGATTTAGTTTTTGATTGGAAATGTAAACTGAGTTTTACACAAATTATGATTTCCTGCTAAGGACATTGACAAGACCAATACGTACAGCAATAGAGGCGGGAGTGAACATAGTCAAAAGAAACTAGAAAATAGAGGAAGTTTAAGAAGCAATTTTGTTCAAAATATGAAGCTATGTTCAAGAACTTAACAGGTAGTGGTTGTTATCAAGTGAGCGGCAGTCTGGTCAGGTGTGTCTCTACCATCCTGCGATGCTTAAGAAACAACTAACAAAGCAGAGATTCAACAACACAAGAAAAGTCATTGGCGTACATATTTCAGGCTTTAGTGTACAGAGGAGTACACATTTCAAGTCATAACTCTTCTCCTGATTCATTATTGTTACACCAAACTAAATGTAGATACCAACCATTTTTCACTTTTATTATTTCTTTCACATTTGCGTTTCTTTAAAGCATGCGACTAAAGTGTTACATGTGGATGGACACGAGATATCTGTAACAGTAAGGAATAAATGCAAATAAGTACGTAATAACCAAAAGCTCAAAATAACCAGGTCCATAAATAAAAAGCAACCTAAAACAAAAACAATAAAACCATGTCTAAACCAACCAAACAACATACATAAACTCCATGTCTATATTGGTCTAACACAAGTTGCTCTATTGTGTCCATTAATACCACAACGGCTGCACTTATGTGTCTTTGAAGCTTGAGACCCTTGTGATAATCGGATATTGTCTTCAACAGATTCATATCTTCTTTTTCTTCGCCTACCAGCTGTTCTCCTTGATTCAGGTGGGAGAACAAGAAAATGTTCTACATCCAAGGGCACACGCCATGAATCTTCAGGGACTGCTATAGGATTAATACTTTCTTTGTATGCTGATCTCCATGATGAAGTAGTATACATTGCATCTGTGAGTGTGTATGGTTTCTTTCCTACACTAAAACCCGCTTTAATAGCATGTTTCCACGGATTTTTAAGTAGGTCATACTTACCACATGAAAAAGATTTCTTCTCCAAATCTACTATGCAGTCAAATTCGTCTCCTCTAACCTGGAATCTGGTATGGTATGGGAAAAACAAGGAATGATTTACCCTTCTCAATTCTTCTATCGATTTTTCTCTCTACATCAGCTGTTAAAGGGTGCATATGGTTGATGCTAAGGGTTCACCGTTCATAGAACCACCTTGTTAGCATTTCTCTGATGCTGTCCAACAATGGAATAACTGGGTACTCTCTAGGTGTTCGCAATGCAGAGTTTATCGATTCAGCAGGGTTAGTTGTCCTTATGTTGTACCTGAAACCAGGAAATAGACATCGCGCCCATTTTCTCACATCAGTCTCTATGAGATATTTCCCAATGGTTGGACTAATACTGCAAATAGTAGTGAATCTCTTCTGAAAATCGCTTACTCTATATGCTTTAGAAGCCTTGGCTACCAATCCAGCAACACCCTTTCCCTTAGAAGAAGTTACCACATTATTCAAGAGATGATGTATGCAAATACCATGAGTAGCTCGTGGGTAAACCTTTTCCAACGATTTTCCAATTGAGCCATGTCTATCGGAAACAAATGCCAAGCCATGCTCATCAACTATAATAACCTTCAATTGCCTGAAAAACCACTCCCATGCACAGTCATTCTCCGAGTCTACAACCCCAAAAGCAATTGGATACAGATTAGAGTTACCATCCAAAGCTGTGGCAACAAGAAGTACACCTTTGTACTTACTCTTCAAAAACGTCCCATCCACAACTATGACCTTACGAATTGCTTTGTAAAAATCTCTTACAGATTGACCAAAAGCAATAAATAGATACTTGAATCAACCCTTTGAATCTGTTTCATAAAGTGTATGTGTACCCGGGTTTGTTGCCTTTAGCATGTGTAAGTAGTTTGGTATCTTGCTATAACTTTTCTCGGGTATTCCTATTACTACGTTAATTGCATACTCACGCGCATCCCATGCTAAGGAGTAACAGATTTCACATCTATAGTCGCGCATAAACTGAATCACATCTTTCGGTTTTGGGCCTTCATTTGCACCATCAAATTTGTGCATAATCAAAATTCCCGATTGTTTTTTCTGAAGCTGTCCTAGCAATCTTAGTTTTGCTAGACGGAGAACATGTATGCTCAGCTACGTACTTGTTAATTACAAAGTACAGAGACCCCTCCAGACACTCTGCGCGAACACTCCATTTGCATATTGTTTCTGCGCAACGAATATACCAGAATCTTGTATCAGATTTAATAACCTTATAATCGAAGTTATTCTTTATTGCACAGATCTCCATTGTAGATTTTAGAATAGCTTTTCTTCGAAAATGTTGATCCTTTTTCAACACATCTGCCAAATAAAAACGAGCCATCTTCTTGATTCCTTCTTCTTTGTTTCCAGACATAAAACCATTATCGGAACCATCACCATTGAGTTTATATGACTTATTCAACTTCTCTGGAGTCTCATCGTCATCTTTTTTTCCACGAATACTACTTGCACCATCTTTTCCAGTACTTGAATTGGATGGCTTTTTACGAATCTGATCTGTAAATGTCACACACAACTGTATTGCTGCATTATTCGTTACATATGTAAGAAAGTTCCTGACTTGGCGATCATTAGAGAGCACAACCGGAGGAGATCCTAACATGATGTTCAAATTTCCTTGTAGAAAGCTTAAGCGGACAATTTCAATACTAGTCTCCATTCCGTAGTCTTCTGAAACCATAATCTTAAGCTCATCAAGAGTAATATACCAAGTTTTTCCTCGTCAGCAATAAACTTTCATTCTCTATTGTCACTCATTATCCATTCACCACAGATTGTGTATACATGGATCATATTTGTAGAAGAAGAAGAAGAAGAACCAAGTAGAAAAAAGCTTGAAAACGTAGAAGAAGAATCACGTCATTGGGTTGGATCATATCAATTAGTTACCACATCTCCTATATTTTCGGATTCTGATAACTGAATAGGCAGAAAGAAAATTCTACAGAAGGTAGAAGATGTAGACAAACCTAGAAATTGTATATTACCTTAGGCAGAATTTAAAGGAACAGTTGATAACGAGTTCTACATTAGGTAGAGTTAAAAGGAAAGGTAGAAACTGCAGTCTACGCAAGGTAGATTCGTTAGGAGTGGTAGAATTTAAATTCAGAACAACGTGGTAGACTTTACATTATGTAGAATTCGTAAGGTAGCCTATTTAGATAACTGTGTGCTGCCTAGAACATATATTCTACGTTTGTTAGAAATAGTTCAGAAATTAGAATATCTGTTCTGCCTTTACCTAGATGCAGAAGATACGTTCTAAATTAGGTAGAATAAGTTTTAGAAAACCTTTAACAATTTTTTCTATTTTCGAAAATAAATTCTAACCAATCAAATAATAATAGTTTCTTTTTTATATTTTTAAAATTCTGAAATCTATTTTTTTATTGTTTTATAATTAATGAAGGGTAAAATAGACTAAAAATGGTAAATAATGGAGAAGGTGTATTGGGACAAATGATTAGCTAATATATCAAATTAGATAATAAACAGTATATATATATATATATATTATAAACATTTAATTTAATTTGTTAGGTAACTAACTAAATGGTCTAACTATGACTTCTAAATAATTAGATAAACAAATAGGATTTGTGTGTGCATGTGACAAGTA